TTTTAATCATTTTCTTGAGTCAAGAATTTTAGAAATGTAGTTTTAATTATTTTTAGTCATTTAGAAGTAACAGGTTGGATTTTAGAATTTTCGGAAGTCAAGACGATTTTCGAGCTCAGGAACCTCTCCCGGTTTTGCCGTTTTCGGTGAGGGTATTATGGACTTTTCACCAGCATGTATATTTATGTGTATGTATTTTGGTTGGAGATATTTTAGGGACTTTGATGACACTGCAATAGAAGGCAATGGGCAAACGAGTAACTAACCAAAAAGTATCATCCACCCAAAATGTGACAAATGGCAAGCCAATGACCACATGGTCAAATTTTGACCATATCATCACCTTTCCTCCTCCTCCATTTCAGTAGAATGCTCTCTCTCTCTCTAACCATTCTCTTTCTCTCTTTATATCTATCTATATACACTAAATGTCTTACACCCTTTAAACTTGATTTTGGAGAAGTTTGAGTGAGATTTTGATGATGGCCAAGAAGGAGAAATTAGAGAGCAAGGCAAGGACTACCATTTGACACCAATATTGCTAGGGTTTAGGAAATTCAATAATTTGGGCCTACTAAGGCCTTGTTTGGCTTACTCCATTGAGGTATGGATCTCTAAACCTCAATTCCTTTGGTTTTAGTGAAGTATATCTCTTTTAATTGCAATATGGTATGCTAAATTGTGAGGTTTCTTATGGTTATCAAGGTTCTAAATATTTAAAGCATGGTAGTGTAATTTTTGTGTGACAATGTGTTAACAAGCTTGCTAAATGAATTATTGCAAGATAAATATTTGAATTGAAGTATTACATGCTTTACACATTTATGATGCTATGGTTGTGTAATTGATGATATACATGTTCTATATGCCTTCAATGTGTTATAATGCATGCCTATGTGAGTTATTGTGGAATAGTTGGTTAAATTGACATTGCCTATGGACTATATATGTAAATTACCATGTTTGATGAATTGAAGGAATGATACTTGATGTGTTAGTTATTTTCCCCAAGCAAGAAATGTGATGGTAGTTTAAATGTATGGGATTTTATAGCATTGAAAAGCATGCAACATTTATGCATGGCATTGGGAAGGAAAAAGGGACAAAGATTTTGAAAAGAAAAAGGAAATTTGTTTTAGGGAAAATGGTTTTGAAGGGAAAAGATTTGGAAAGTTGTTTGCGAAAACCGGTCGCCTAAGAGTTGCCTAGGGTCCGTGGCGTTAATGGGACCTAGAGGAAACTAGGGAGACTGCCCTAGCGTGGTCGAGCTACCTAGGCCCTAAATGACGCCATGAAGTTGCCATGGATCAGGGATAGTTAGCCAATCCTTCTCTCGTGGCGCCATGGAGTTGCCATGGGCTGGGTTACATTAACGGTTTGGAAATAGTTGAGATTGGAAATGGTTTTGGAAAGGGGGAACGACATTTCATTTCATTGGCATTGCATTTGAGGATTTTGTTGGACTTGTTTTGATAATTTGATACTTCCCCTAATGAGCATGATTCCCCCTCTATTTCCTATGCTTTGTGTGGGTTCACGGGATCATTAAGGAATGTGCTTTAGGTACCTCCTACTGAACTTTATGCTCACCCCTTATCTTTAACATTTTTAGGACACGAAAGGGAAGTGGTAGACGACCATCCCCACAAGCTTAGACAAGATTAAAAGATCATTTTATTATCTCTTGTAATTAAAGTTCCATTTTTTTGTAAAGCTTTAATATGATATGTAAAATTTTGTAACCAGTAACCTTGTGTCCACGATTACGCTCCTTGAATATGTATAAGTGTAATTTAAGGGAAGCATGCCATGGATGGGAATTCATTTTGATTCAAAGTGGTACATGTAAGGCCTTAAGGCCATACCATGATGTATTACAGACTTATTTAACTTCAAATGATGTAATGGACTCATGTACAATTTTATTCGAATGTACTGATACCTAGTTGTGTTAATTTCATTGTCATATGTATGATTTGAGACAGGTTTAGACTTTATATAGGGTCACTAAGGGACCAAGGGTGTGCCTATGTGCACAGGTGCTTGATTTTAGGCTTTTTATAGGCATTTTCAGGGTTATGGTCATCTTGAACCAGTTTAACTTTCATGGAACCGGTTCAAGGGCTGTTTTGGTTCACGTTTAGGCATTCTGCCCATGTGGAACCGGTACAACGATTTAGGAACCGGTTCAAGACCTCCAGTGTCCATTTTTACGTTGGCAGCTTGTTAGTCTCGTGTGGTCTAACTTCTTCGTTCTAAACCCAAATAGGGTCATTCTTGAGTCCATTTTCAAGGATTTTGAGTTAGATTTCCAATGAGACTAATCTTATCTTCAAATTCCATTCATGTTGAGAGATATGGTTGTTTTAGTGGAACAGTGTCGGAATTACCCTTGAACCGCGTAAGGGCACTTTTGGGAAATCATAACCAATGACCGTAGAACCTCTTCGAATGTCATGGAATGACTAGAATGATTGTTTTAAACTTCATTTGAATGGTTTAAGGGCAGATTATCCTCTCATATTGTAAAATGACCATTTCACCCCTAGTGTGTCATTGGGTTTGGTTAAGGGCCCGGTTAGCGATTCGGACCCCCAGTTTGGGTCGTTACATCACTAATATGCATCGGTCATTCATTAAAGTTAATGAAGTAGATTTGCTCGTGTTCAAGCCTCCAAGTGGGAGATTGTTAAGGTTGTAGAGGCTAAATCACTCGAGGGTTGCATTATGGAGAAGTGCAACTGGTCGCACTTGTGTTATGGAAGTCTAAGTGCATTATAAAAAAGTTAAACCAGTTTCATTTTTCTAGAACAAGTAACACTTGTGAAGAAGTATAATTAGTTGCACTTGAGTAGAGAAGATCACAATGGTGATTCCGAGAAGTTGAACTAGTTGCACTTGAATTTGAATTGGTTGAACTTTGTTGAAATGTGCAAAAATTAGTTTCCTTATTCATTTTGGACTCTCCAAATGCTGAAACTTATTGGACAAGTTGTGTTACTACATATATTGGTTTTTGTACCAACCCTAGTGTGTGAGAACAAGAGGTGTGAGAGTATTGTGCCTACACAAGAGAGAGATTAAGTGGAAATTTTCCATTGTAATCCTTCATTTTTTTTTTAGTGAAATAAATGCGCTTTGTGAACATAGCCCTAACTTTGGGTGAACCACGTATATCTTGAGTTGATTATGTGATTGTTTTTATATGTGTGATTACTCCTCGAACATCATTATATACAGCACCAAAATACTAACTTCTAGCTAGACGTTGAGAGTGTTACGCTATGAGCTTTACACGAACTCCATCATAAGAGTGTCTCGGACACGAGCTTACACATAAATGTTTCCATGGTAGTTTTTTTTTAGGAAACAATATAATGAATTGTGTTTTTTCTAATTTGCATAACATTAGTCCACATTAAAGAACTTTTTGTTATATATAAAAAGAATTCTTGTTTTGGGGCATGTATATGAATGCGTGATATTTGCTAATTGCCTTGGTGGGACAAACGAACAATTCTGCCAAGTGAGCCACATTTTAGTATTTGGTCTTTTGATAGTGTCCAATTAGAATGCTTGTCACTATTAAGGGCCAAAATGGGTAATGAACTTTGCTATATGGTCACATGCATCATGTCACATTTCAGCATCCAAGAAATTGCTAAAAATAGACAAAAAAAAAAAAAAAAAAAAAAAAAAATTAAAGAAGTAATCACATATTGTATATGTCAATTGCAAATAAAATGAGACATTCCTCAACAGTTCGAACTTGACTCATTAAATAATCAACTTCACTTGTGTTCATTACTAAGTAAACAAGTAAAATTGGAACAAAAACTAAATAAATTGAGTCTAATTAACTTCACGTTAGCCTTTGAACATGCTCGGTAATAGAAAATTGTAAATAAACTCGTTAAGACTTGTAACCAAATTATTCAAGTCAATTTTGGCCTCAAGCTCAAGTTTAAGTTTGATACAAGCAAAACAACCCAAAGCTCGAGTTTAACTCCTACACTTATTCTTGAATAGAATCGAATTTGAGCTTAATGTAAATACACAATACTCCACTGGACTCCATTCAAATGCAAATATAATATTACTATAAATTATAGGATAAAGTGCAAAAAAAACACCTCAAACTATTGATATTTTGCAAATAACCCCCCTGAACTAAAAACTGACCATGAACTATTGATTTGTTGCAATTAAGAACAAACTCATGGCAAAAGACTATTTTATCCTTTCTCATTAAATTTTTCATTTCTTATTAAATTATTTTTATCATATTTTCTCTTATCTAAATATTAATTATACTATTTACCTTAATTTTATTATTAATATCAATTTATCATAAAAAAATAAAAAAAATTAAATAGATTTGTAACTACCATTTTCTAAAACAATTAACTTATTATTAAAAATTTATTTTTAATAATATAAATGATTATATCCAGTTTTAAAAAATTTATCATAGAAAATTACCCTATTTTTCATACAATATATTGATGAAAAATTAATAAACTATCTAAGTAAAAAAAAAAAAAAAAAAAAAGCACATTTTTTCATGTAATATATTCATACAAAATTAAGAATTTGATTAAATTGTTTTAAAATTTTCTACGTAAGATATTTATTTAAAAAATTAATTTTAAAAATTAAAGGTAAATTTATGCAAATTTAATGGAGAATATGTCATCAAATTAGTATAATTTTAGTTTCATAATTTATTTCAAATAATAAAAATAGATTAAGTTTAATTCAATAAGAAAAGACATTATGGTCATTTAATAAAATATAATTAGGCATTGGGCCATTTTGCAACAAAATGTGATAGTTCAGGGGGTATTATGCACAAAATATAGTTGAGGGGGTTGTTTGCAAATTCCAACGTAGTTCAAGGTTTTTTTTTTTTTTTTTTTTTTGCACTTTACCCTAAATTATATATATATATATATATATAGAGAGAGAGAGAGAGAGAGAGAGAGAGAGTGAAAGCTTACTGAAAGTCCCCAGGTACAAATATTTGTGTCCTGAAAAACGGGCAATTCGTGCCTCCCACCTCCCTGTGTGATTATGCCTGTCAATTGCATGGTAGGTCAAACTTTTTCATTTCAAAATAAAAAGAAAAAAAAAATTAGGGCAAATTTCACGGAACCCCCAATACTATCAGTTTTTGATTAAATATCCTCAACCTACTTTAGAAAACCCCCAACACTATGAAATTTGATCACATTGCCCCAATTTTGTGATTAAATGATAAAATTAACCTTCTGATATACTAATTTATTTAAAAAAACAAAAATTTGTATTTTGCCAATTACAGAAATAACCTTGGTAACATCTAAATAATCGAAGCACAAAAACTAAACTCGGTCGTTTTATACATATATATACATATACGTATAATATATATATACACATAAAATTTATACATATATACATATATATATATACACACACACACACAAAATTTCAGAGCTATGCACTCCACTACCGTATAATTCCAATGAAATTTCAGAACCTAAATTTTCAGACGCAAATATCTTGGCACTACGCACTCCAGGAAAAATAAAACTCTAATTGATGAAAGATCATTATTCCAATAAAAGTTTTCTCTTTCAACTTCAAACATCGTCCTAGAATTGAAAAATATAACCCCAATAAGAATACTCCAAAACCGAGAAACAATATATAATAGATATTCAAAATCATCAAACGAAACTCATATTGGATTAAAAAAAAAAAAAAAAAGAACCGAACCCAGTATAAGAAAGAACCTGCGTACAATTACCCAGAAAAGGAAGAACAAAATAAGCCCTTGAATTGATTGATTAATCCAAAAAGTAAAGCGTTTTGTGGAAGGGATTGAAGAAGAAAAAGAATTAACAGGAAGTTTAGAGAGAGAAAGAAGAGAGAGAAGGGGGAACCTAAATTTTGCAGCTTCACATATATGCATAGCTCTGAATTAACAGAAGGTGCATACCTTTAGCAATGCAGATTCAGGCAATTCCGGTAGTGCATAAAACCCATGGAATTCCACCGACTTCACTTCTTTTCCACTCTTCTTCAACCCCTTGTAGTACATTCTTTGTCAGTTCTGTAACGGATCAAAACCTCCAACGAATACCATCGTCCCCGGAAAATTCATTGCCGACAAATCAGTCAATTTTGATCCACAGCCTAACACATTTGCCGTCTCGTGGTCCCGGTCCGATACTTTCGGCAGAAATGACCTGGGTCGGGTACGATCCAGATTGCTAAAAGCGGGTCGGGCAAGAGCAACCATTCTAAACCAAGTCTTCACTAGTCAAGCCCAGGATCAGGAAATCATGTTGAAAGCCCGATTTTAGATAAAAGGAATTGAGCCCATAATCAAGAAGAGCCCAGAAGAACAACCCAGTGCAGGGAGTTAGTTAGGAAGCTTCTAGAATATCTGTAATAGTCTATAAATAGACTGAAAATAGAGGGAAAAGGGGTTGAACAATCTTTGAAGTGTAGAATTACTCTTTCTAAATTAAGAACGAGAATTTCTTGCATCTTCAATGGCGCTGTCCGTGGGAACTGATAAAGATTGATTCGCATTTGATCAAGATTGATTCGGTCAAGACTGATTCGTCAAGAAGAAACTTGATCTTTGGAAGCTGGATTCAGGTCGGCGAGGTTATGCTCTGTTTTGCAGAGACCTAGTTCTAGTCGATCTTTGGAGATTGGAATCAGATCTAAAAAATCTTGATTTGCATACCGAGATCACATTAGACGAGTTCACGGCAAGAATAGAATCAACAGATTGTAGATCGGATCCAATGGAAAGAGATTGGAATTCAGCTAGTTTGAGGACAGATCTAGTACGTTCGCATTAGTAGCGGTTAGATCCGATCAGGAATTCACGGTTGATAACTCTACTCCGATCAGGAACGATGATATGAGGCGAGAGTTCTAATTAACAGGAGAATGGCCAGCAAACGAAGCTTGATAAGTTGATAAGCATGATCGAAGCCCTGAGAAGAAAAAACGCAGAATTGCGAGCTAGAATGGAGCGTCAGGAGGTTCCGGCGATTCCACACCCAATTCCTGCAGGAGATAGAGCCTTACAACCCGATGCTGCTCACCAAGGAGAGTAGGAAAGGAACAATCACGTGGATCTTCACCGTAACGAGATCAGGCCAGGCGATTTACCGCCAAATACTCGTTGCATAGAGGATTGAGAAAGATCTATTCATTTGGATCCGCATATTAAGCGGATCAGGCGAGAGGAAGCTATGGAGTCTGATCACCATAAGGCTACATCACCGTGGCAGACAGAGCTCACGGAGGAAAGATCATTTGATCCACCCTATCGGCCTTCAATGGCTACGTACGACTACAGAGGTTCGGATGGTAGATCTACAGATCAGAGGATTCTCCCAAGGCTTCCGAGGGAAAATGAGGCCCTCCGTTCGTCAGCACGAACGGTTGATTCACCGTTTACTAACGAGATCCTGAACTCTTCAAATCCGAGGAAGTTTTTCATGCCAGTTTTCATTCTTTTTTATGGAACGACCGATCCGATTGATCATGTTTACCATATCTAATTAAAATTGACTTTGAACACGGAGAATGATCCTTTGATGTGCAAGTGCTTTCCTACAAGTCTGACCGGACCAGCACTCAATTGGTTCAAGAATTTACCAAAAGGCTCAGTCGCTAGCTTCCAGGACCTGTGTGACAAGTTCATAAGCCAGTATTATGGAAACAAGTACCCGGCTAAAGATATCTCAAGTTTGTTCACAATGAAGTAGCACGTAGAGGAGTGTCTCCAAGCTTTCCACACCAGGTTCAACCTCGTCAAGAGCATGGTAATGGAATGTCATCCATCTATGACGGTTCAAGCATTCAAGCTAACAATGAATCGAGGGACACCGTTCCACACAAGTCTGGTGGTAAATACGCCGAAGACCATGGACGAGCTGAACGAGAGAGCTGACGATTTGGTGCGTTCGGAAGAAAAGGAAGCAGCTAATGCAAGGAAGACATCAATCATCTCTACGGAAGAGAAGTCCAAAACCAAAATCTGGCAAAAGTAAGCTTCACCACAACGTCAGACCTCCTGGAAAGCAGAAAAGAGGCATAGAGAGAAAGAGTTGATTACTCCACTTAAAGTCACTCTGGCAAGGTTATATCAGAAGAACAAAGATAAGTTTCACTCTCCCCTACCAATTAGACAGCCTCTTGAACAGAGAGATCAGTCTAAATATTGTACTTTTCATAGCGATTTTGGTCATCAAACTAATGAATACAGGAACTTAAGGAGGCAAGTGGAGATACTGATACCGAAAGGAGAGTTTGCAGGGTATATTCAAGGGTCGGCAGTGGAGCAGAACCAACTGGCAGAGCAAGTAAAGAGGAATCAGAAGCCGAGCTACAATAACGCTCAGCCTGTTCGGATAATTAATACAATTCACGGCAAACCTGAGCAGATAGAGGAGTCAGAAGAACTACTTCGAACGCGCTTTCGGCAGACACAGATGAAGAGAAGGATAGGCATCGTAAACACTCTGCACCAGCAAAACGTATCAGTTTAGATAAAGTTCACTAGAACGGATTTGCTACGTGTACAAATCCCTCATGAAGATCCTTTGGTCATCAGTTTAGCAGTGGCAGGGTGCTTGGTGCAAAAGGTTCTGATTGATCCAGGGAGCAGTGCGAATGTCATGCCAAGAACAACGTTTGACCGGCTCGAGATCACACCAGACAAGCTTATACCCACCGAAAATCCACTGCTGGGGTTTGATGGGAAACGGGTAGAGCCCATTGGTATGGTAGAGCTGCTAGTACAAGTTACTGACAGAGTCCTGACAGAGAGCTTTATGGTCGTTGAGATCCACCCGTCCTACAACCTCTTAATGGACGGGGATGAATTCATAGGGTCCAGGGTGTCCCATCAACTCTGCACCAGGTGATGCAATGTTTGAGCCCAGGTGGGAGCAGGGTGATTAACATCGATGGGGATCAAGTCGCAGCCAAAGAATGCTATTCCATGACAATGAAAGCTGCTGGTAAGGGAAAAGCTTCAGCTCGTTCTGATAATCCAAGATAACAATTACAGGGACCTTCCCCAAAGGCAACTGGGGGGAAGGATGAGCCTTTGGTTCTTACCGAAGAGGCCCTCGTTGATGTACAGATAGATCTTCGTAAGCCAGACAAAACCACAAGGGTAGGGTTAGGGCTTGTAGAGAGGGAAAAATAGGAGTTAGTTGACTTCTTATCTCAAAACGCAGATGTGTTCGCTTGGAGCCATTCAGACATACCAGGGATCAGTCCATCCGTGTCTTGTCATTCCCTCAATATAGATCCGAACGCTAAGCCTGTAAGATAGAAGCAAAGGAGGTTCACCCCAAAACGCAATCAAATTATAGCTGATGAGATTGAACGATTGTTAGATACCTGATTCACCAGAGAAGTTTAGTACCCGGGTTGGCTCTCAAATATAGTAATAGTGCAGAAGAAGAATGGGAAGTGGAGAGTCTGTATTGACTTCACCAATCTGAACAAAGTATGCCCGAATGATAGTTTCTCGTTGCTAAAGATTGATCAAATGGTGGATGCCACTACTAGATATGAACGACTAACCTTCATGGATGATTACTTAGGCTACAACCAAATCCCAATGGATCCGAACGATGAAGAAAAAACTTCTTTTGTCACTGAACAGGGGATCTACTGTTACAAAGTCATGCCGTTCAGACTAAAGAATGCTGGAACTACTTATCAAAGGCTGGTCAACAAGATTTTCAAGAGTCAGATGGGGAAAACTGTAGAGGCCTATATTGACGACATGGTAGTATAGAGTAAGAAGAAAAACAATCACCTGGAACACTTGCAAGATGTATTTGGGGTGTTGAGAAGATATGGTGTGAAGCTTAATCCAACCAAGTGCTTATTTAGCGTGGGTTCAGGGCAGTTCCTGGGACATGTGGTCAATAGCAGAGGGACTGAAGTTAGCCCAGCCCAAGTAGAAGCTTTGATCAATAATGCAGAACCAAGAACGGTTAAAGAGGTGCAAGCACTCACTGGCCAGATAGCCGCACTGAGTTGGTT